AGCATGTGAGATCTTGCTTCCCAGCATGTCATCAGTTTGGCTCAAATAGACGCATATAAAAATTCTTTATAGGTTTGGACATTCTTACATCAACACTGTCTGAGGAATTGCACTCTAGCCCTCACTGCGCCATCCCTCGGTCTGTTTATATGTGGAAAATGAGTCCCTGGCCTTCTGAAAGTCAGTTCCATCTCTTAAAATATCTAATAGTCCAGTATACATACATACATACACACATACACACACACACACACTCTCTCTCTCTCTCTCTCTCTCTCTCTCTCTCTCTCTCTCTCTCTCTCTCTCTCCCCCACAATGTATTTGTCTTTGATCGGGAAATCAGATATGGAGTTTTACCTACATTTTGGAGTCAGTTTATGTAGGAACAAGTGTGGAAAGTGCAGACATGACTTACAACGGATTCTCTCTGGGGACAAGTAGGAGATTTCCAATATAATCAATGAAGTGTAATTGTCAATTAATATAAAATCGTGGAAACAAGTTATAATTCATCTTGCTCTATAATAATGCTGTTCTCTGTATATTCATATTTTGGAAATTCTAGTTGGCATTAATCATTCTGAATACCTACTTCCACTCATGTCTAGAATTTAAATCGGCAGTATATCAGGAGACAAATTAAAGAAACCAAACATTCAATTCTACACTCTGACACATGTAATATGCCAGGCCTGCAACACAATTCTATGTTGCATATACATTAGGCAAAGAACCTTTAAATAAATAATACATTCCTGACAACTGTTTATAGATAAATCTTCTAATGTTTAAAAGCAGGACCCATCTCCTCTGCCCTTGAGTTCAAGGACCCCATCATTAACCTTTCCTAATGCCTCTCACAGATGCACGGTGCCTTTTTCCCCACAACTGTAACTCACGCGGCTTCCCTTTGCACAGCCAAGTATCAGGTGTCTCAAAGTTCCATAGAGTACACTACATAGGAAATGTTTGTGGTCCATAGACTTTATCCACTCCAGTTAAATAGGATCATCTGCTTTTGAGGAGAGGGCCGATTTGACTCAGCATTTTCCACTTGGACCAGCCTAAGGGGGCTGCTGACTGCAGTGGAAGATTCTACACTTAATAGACACGCCTGCCTTCCAGCTGGCTCATTGGCCTAAACAGGCTCCTGGGAAACCTGCACTATAAAGACTGAAAAGCAGCAGTGTCATTTGTACAATTTACTTTATTTACCATGTAAGAAAATACCTAAGTAAAACAGGGAGTAAAGCAATAGAAAATATGATCCCCTTCAAGGAATTTTATTCCTATCAAGATGTTTCTGCAATAACAAAAGAAAACTGACCCATATGTATATTTTAGAAGAGAATGCCTGTTTTTTATGCACTTTACTGAACAAGAATGACTTAGAATCTTAGAAACAATTTAGTACTATGAGCATCAGGCAAATAAAATACACAGAATCATCACCACCAAAATCCCAAGTGCAATAATCTTTATGCTGAAGATTTCATTTGAATTCATTTGGCCACAATTAAACCTCTCAATGAGCAGGCCAAGGCATAGTATACTGCGGTATGCTCTTAGTTGGTCTGTCCAGCAATTGAGATGTTTAAAAAATAAAATGAATAGGTATGATTGCTCTTGCTACTACAACTGTAGCTAATCTAAACCTTCAAATAAGAATAATCCACACACAAGTGAAAAATTACGATTTAGATGGGCCAGAAAACTTTGAATCTCCTGTACTAGAGAAATACTTTTTCACAAAGCTCTTTAATTTTACAAAAAATATCTTTTTTTTTTTTTTTAAGATTTTATTGGGGAATTGGTGGAGGGCACTGTGGTAGGGAATTGGGGAAGGGGAACATTGTATTTTTCCAGGACCTATCAGCTACGAGTCAGTTGTTGTCCTTCAATCTTAGTTGTCAAGGGTGCAAGCTCAGCTCCATGTCCAGTTGCCACTTTTCAATCTAGTTGTGGGGGGTGGGGCAAGGGGGGCAGCTCTATGCGGGAGTCGAACCGGCAACCTTGTTGTTAAGAGCACGTGCTCTCACCAGCTGAGCCATCCGGCCTCCCCCTGGAAGCTCAGCTCAGGCGCAGCTCACTGGCCCATGTGGGAATCAAACCGGCTACCCTGTTGCTCAGAGCTCGCACTCTAACCAGCCAGCCCCACAAAATCATCTTTAATGAAGTGAAATATTGTAACCAAGGCTGTGAAGTAAAATAGTGTGATTTCAGCTCCACCGTCTGTCTTCTCAGCTCTGTGATCTGGTGCCACTCATGCATCATTTTCCTCATAGTAAAGCAGGTGTAACACCTGTACTCCTCTCACAGGATGCTTTAAGGATTTAATTAGGTCACAGATGTAATAGTGAAAACCCCTACAATATTGATGTCAAGAAAGATCAGTTATTTTCATTCTTGAAAAGCCTCCTCCTTGCTCTGGGATAACACACTCTTTTTTTTTTTTTTTTTTTAGCTGAGCCATCCTGCCATCTGTTGGCAGCTCAGCGGCAGCTCAGCTCGGGCCGGGAATCGAACCGCTGTTGCTCAGAGCTCAAACTCTTGGGATAACACACTCTTGTTTTTTGCTTCCTTCTTCTGCTCCTTCCTTTAGTCTCCTTACCTGTCTTGTTTTTCTCTCCCCAAACATTAAATGTTGAGAGTTCTCAGGTTCTATGGGACCTAGATTCTCTTCTCACTCCATTCTTTCCCAGCAGGGTCTAATCTACTCTGCCAGAATTTTCATTACCACCCAGAGAACAACAATCTCCAAAGGTGTACTTCTAATTCAGATCTGATTACACACCTGCCAACTCAACATCTCCACTTGGATGTTTTGGAAGAACCTGAAATTCATTATTTCTAAAAGCCAAACTCACATCTTTGCCAACAAACATAAATTGTTGCCTATAGCACAAAGTGGCTCCAAAACCACCCAATTATGCAACCTAGAACCCAGGGAATCATCTCTGTAATGTCCTGTTCCTCACTTCGCAGTATTAAACCCATTTCCTACCTCTTTTCATTCTACCTCTGGAATACACCCCTTTGTCTCCACAGCCATTATCACCTTCTGAATCAAAAGCCATGATCCTATAGCTCCCAGACTGGTTTTCCTGCAAGCAGCCTCACCTCCTCCGATCCATGCACGACATGCAACTAGAGCGATGTTTTAAAAAAGCAAATATAATATCACTCCTCTACCTACAACTTTTCTTTGGCTTATCGGTGCCCTTAGAATAAGGAATAAAATACTGTAAACCATCAATAAACTTGAACATGTTCTCTGTCTCCACAGTCCTCTATATTCCAAACACATGAGATCTTTTTCCTTTAAAATGCTGGGTTCTTTCCTTCTTCAAGGCCTTTATTCACCCTCACTCTGTTCCTTCTTTAGAAATGTATGGAACGTTCTTTACTGGCCACCCCTCTATCCCAATATCTAGCTATTTCTTTCTCATCATGTATTTCTCTGCTTCACCAATACCTCCTCCGGGAGGTCTTTCCTGGTTCTCAGGGCAAAGCCAGTTCTATTAATTATACTCTCTCGAAGCACCCTGGCACGTTTTGCATCAAAATTCTCAGTGCATTTGTACTTACTTTGCTGTCTGTTTTCCACAGAAGATAATAAGGGACAAACGTGCAGGAAGCATGCCTGTTTTATTTATAGTTGTATCCTTTAATCTTAAACACCATGATTGCCACAAGTAGGCCAGTCATGACACTGATAAATATTTGCTGACTTAAACATGAAGATGGTTCTGGCTTAGTCCCTGACTTAATAATTGCTCATAATTGATGGAGAAATGTACATAAAACTAATTCAAGGCAGAGTGTGATAGCTTGGTATATGAAATAAGCATAAGGACTACTTGATTCTGTGAAAAGAAACACAGCATCAATTATGGAAGCGGAATGAACGTATGAGGAAATGACTATAGAAGGAAGGCTTCTTTTCGGTGGGAGATAAGCCATGGAGAGCGAGCAAGACTTCAACAAATGAAGCATAAGAAATATTCCAGGGAGAAGGAAAAGTCGGGGCAAAGCCATGGATAGAGTCAGGGTATAGACAGAGACTGGTGAGCAGACAATTGTGCCTGATGAGGGAGGTATACTGAAAGGCAGAAAATGGCCACACTGGGAAAAGCTTTCATCACCAGCATTACACTCTCTCTCTCCAGGGGAAGCAATGAAGGTTTCGCCACTGAAGAATGGTAATCACAGAGGGGAAAATGGCGTGAACAGATTAGGATGGGAATGTGGAGACCAAGGAGTAAGCTATTTTCAATATTTCAGACAGAAGAGAGGGAAGAAAGGAAGGAGAATAATTCTACAGAATGGATAACACTACTCAAATGGGGGTGGGGTCTGCTACTGACTGAATGGAAAACCAAAACAGAAAGGATGGAAGATGATGAGTTCTGATTTGGAAATCCTCAATTTTTTGTGCTTACATAACGCTGTGCAGGTAGTTAAAATGTAGATCTAAGAAAGAGGGTCAAGTAAATTTCTGAAAATATTAGGCTCATGGAAAATTTAATTGGTATGTAATCAATTAAACATTACTGCAAAGGCTTGACAAACACTCTCTAAGGTTTTTCCACAAACACATGTTTTTATTAATAATGTAAAAATGCAAAAATAAAAGTTCTAATTACTGCCTAAATTTTCAATATTCCCTGTGCCTAATTTTGATTTTAAAGGTGTTAGAAACAAAGTTCATAATTTTACCATAATTTCACACCCTTGAAAATAGTTAACTTCCTACAATTGTTGGGATGGGAGGAGCTCACTTATAATAGCATGCTGACTTTTTCTCTATTCAGTAGAAGAATAATATCTTTTATGTTTAAAAGAATTCCAGTCTTTGTAATAGGCTCTGTGCAAAAGTTAAAAATGACGTGCAGAATTTTTTAAAAGGTCATTCTAATTTCAAAAATGTTAACATCTGAAATTATGTCATCTTTAATTATCAAGAGAATATCTGGAGAATAATAAAATGTAACACTTACTTTTGCTGCACCTATCTGTTCTTTTCGAAATTTCTCAAGTGGCGCAATTAACACATCATTAGCGTTTTGAATCTGAAATGAAAAATGGAAATACATTATATTCTGCATAATTTCATGCAAATATTGAAAAAAGATGGCTCCTTTATTCACCTTATTTAAATAAACAGCTTTTGTTCTCTTGTTTGCTTCTGTAAATGAAATAAAAATACCTCACATATTGTAGTCTTTTTCTACTTTATAATTAAGCTGTTCTCACAAATTATGTCACTTGATCCTAACAATAATGTGAATAATCTGAAAACAAGTACATATGGTAAGATCTTAGTTAGAATAAGAAATGTAACTATTCAAAGATATAACTAAGAAATAGCATATCAGATATTAAATTTACAAATACTTTTAATTATGCTGTTTTGATGTAGTCAGTTCAAGCATCATTTTAAAATTGAACTATATAAAAGCTCTTCCATTTTGTCTCTAGAATATTGTAATTCTACAGCTGCAAAATAAAATTGGCTCATTTTTTCCCCTATTTAATTAGGACCCTTACATTTGGGATTTGTTTTAATGTTCTCATATTTCCAGATCTACTAAAATAGTATGTGATTTCTTTTCAATGAATAGTATCTTAGCCCCAAACTCCAAACTGGGATTTACTTACAACTTTAAAACACATGAATCTTTTAATAGATCTGTAAAAATATGTGAGAGGGTTCTAGGTATGGGACCAGGGGCCGGTTGTAAGGCGACAAACATTTCTAAGGGTAACATTATGCTGGAAGGAAATTTTTGTTTAAAAAATCCTTTAGAAATAATTAAAATTAAACGTAGGATCTTAAATTTTCTCAACACAAAAATAAATGGTAATTATGTGACAGGATGCAGGTGTGAGACAATGCCATGGTGGTAATCATTTTGGTGGTAATGGTGGTAATAATGTATAAATCAACACACTGTACACCTTAAACTTATACAACGTCATATGTCAATCACATCTCAATAAAGTTTGAGGGAAAAAATTAGGCCCAATTAACAAAATTTATAATTTATTCTAACACTGTGATAACATGATCAATATATAATTAGCAAATGCTAAAATGAAGGAAAAGCTATGTTTAAAATATATTATTCTATTTTAAAATAGGCTAAATGCTATATATAGAAGCTCCTTATATTATTTTACAACTTCTCTGTAAGTCTGAAACTACATCAAAATTTTAATAAAGGATTTTACTTTCACTTATTTTCACTAGTTATTCTCTAGTCAATTTCTATTTCTTCAATCCCATCATCTAAATGCACAGATATAGTATATACAAAAATTGAAACTAGAGTGTTAATGCCTTTCATGATTCAGTCCTTCTCTGACTAGCAGAAAAATGAGATGACAGATCTTAAAAAGAGGACCCCAAATCTTGTTATGTGAAAACCTACGAGGTAGATCAATATTCACAATTCTTTCTAAGACACTAAGGGGTCTGGATTCCTATGACATCCACCACCTAGTTCCCATTTGTGAGCTCAGGCAGACTTCCCACCAGATACATTGTGCAGGCCTCTTACTTAGGCACGATTGGAAACAGTAGCAAACTAGCTCGCTTTTCATTCTCACTCTCTAAATCCTCTTTGCCCTCACAAAAGCCCCAAAACACCTAAACACACACATAAATATCCAGACTTTACAGACATAATAAATAGCTGATGCTGCCTTTAAAGTTAAATTTACATAAGGGGAAAGACCATGTCAGGGACACTTCAGTGGAATTTGGAAAAATAGCAAAAATAAAGGCTAACATTTACTGAATGTTTATGCTGCAAACAAGCATGATCTAATGTATTTAAAGTTGGTGAACTTCACAGGGAGAGATTTCTCCTGTGGTGAACATCCCAACAATGAGGCTGAACAAGATGGTGTGCAGTACAGCGCTTAATATGTGGATTTAAAATAAAAAGTACCTGGGTTTAAACTGGGTTCTGTGGCGTACAAGCTGCTCTTTAACCATGCTGAGCAACAGCTGCACAATCTACCCAACAACTTGGTTTACATACAGTAAGTGCTCAAAACCTATAGTTGCTAATATTTCCAAATACACATAGATAATGAATCTCATTCTGTGTTTAACTACTTAATACACTTCTATATCTGAATCTACTGTATTGCTCTTTGAAGTGTATCTATGCGCACATGACGAGGAGGTATGTTCCCATAAAAGTTCCCAAAACAGACACCCTGGACTCTCCCACATGTAATCACTAAGTATTTATACACGTGCCAAGCACACTGCTGAGATCTATGGAGAAGAGAAGAAATTAAGGCATGGGCTATCACCTTCCAGAAAGTTAATGTCTACTTGGGAATGGGGGGAATGTGTTTATTTAACAAGTATTTGAAGCTTGTAATACACTGGTCAAAATTTCAGAAAAAGTGAAACGACAAAACTGAACACAGTGAGAATAGTTACATGATAAACTATGCTGAATGCCTTAAAAAGACATTAGGATTCTGACAACAGGAAAGATCCATGAGAACTAAATGGGTCAACGTAGTATTTGGACTGTGGATATGAATTGGATGCACCGAAGAGAAAACGTACTCTAGGAAAAGAGAGCACCATGAATAAAGGCGAGAGGGTAGAACAGGGCATGGCAATGTGGGGAGGGGAAGCGGAGTGCACAAAAAGAGCATTTACTGAGCTCTCATTAAGAGTCATTCATGATTGTGAGTATATTGACCATGTTATAGGTCCTCATTTCACTTTTTAAAAATGGGGTTAGCAGAGTGAATGTGAAGCATATTGAACAGCTCTGGCACATAGACTCCATAGAATAATATATTACTATTACTGTTATTACTATTAATATTCTTATTATTAACTGATACAAACATTATCTAATTGGAGAAAAGAGTATCCATTATTGGTAGGAAACTCAACTGGAATAAGTAAGGAAAAGCTGAATTACACCCATAATCTAGGCAAAGCAGCCTGAACATGGAGTGACTATTGGCTTGTCAACAAAACAGAAGATTTTATTTACTCTTACAAAAGCTTGCTCTAGGAAGACAGCAATATGTGGGATATTTTGAAAAGGAAGACATAAAGGCAAAATATGCCAGATGAATTGGCAGATGGGTAGCAGGGAATTGCAGAGACAGCTTTTTGGGAAAACATAAAAAAGGACCCAGAAGGAGAGGAATCAAAAGTGGCGAGTTTTTTGCCTCAGGCACCAGAACTTTGGCATCACATTAAGAACCAGGGTAAAAGAGAGTCGAGGGAGTACGTTTGGTGGAGAAGGGTGGAAAACAATGAATTTCACTTTGGAACTATTAACGTTTGATGGCATGGGAAGATTCAAAGAACTATTTTGGCAGAATATCCCACCTCAAAATGGTAGAACCAATTAATATGAATGAAATGTTTTTTACTGGGATGGGAAGGATTAGGAAAAGGAGTGGATAGGCGGATCCACATACTAAGGCATTGGCACCCCCATTCATATGCAATAGTTTAAATTTTTGTCAAAACCCTTATGTTGCTGTTATCTAAATATGACCTGGGAATAAAACAAAACCTGAGGAGATGTGATCATTAACAAGTATTATTTCCTATCTCTATGTCTTCATTTTCTCTTTTGTTTTTGTATTTGCTCAATTTTTGCTCTTTCTTCTCCCTACTCTCATTCTATTAATGTGAAACTAAAAGCATTAGATAATAATAATAACAATAATAATAATAATAACAATAACAACAGTAATAAAGTTCTAGAGGTAATAAACAGAAAAAATGAGGAAGAGGGAGCAAAACATCCAAGAGTGACAGATAACAATACATAAGATCTATTGAGGGTTTACTATGTACCAAGTACTATGCAACGCTCTTTATAATATCAAGATTAAAGTCAATTTTATATTAGTAATGATGTTCTAAATCTAAAATTCATCTGGAATGTATTGAGAATGTGAGTGTTTAAGTTAGCTCCAGTTCCATTTGAATCTTGGCACCAAAACCGCTAAGACTCAGTGTCTTCATCCCTGTACCTCTTAAGGTTTTTATAAAAATTAAAGAACTATGTATATTGTATTTTACAAGTAACAAGCATAGATTTGGCATATGGCAGACATTCAATAAATGTTTGCTTCTTCACAGAATTCACAATGTCTACTGTGTTCAGAATTATTGTTAAGCACGCTTAGAATTTCCCAAGATCATTTAAAATGTGGTTACTGAAAGGTAGAAAATGAAATCCAAAATCATTTAACAGAACAGTATCTATCTAGAGTACCCATCTACAGTAGTAGATAACCAGGAACCTAATTTTTCCATAAAACACTATAACACATGGATGGATTTACATCTGAAACATGACATTCTGTTTGTGTGCAGTCAATGGACTGCTGTTCACAATATGTGAATCTAAATTCAAGGGATCAAAATGCAAATGCCAACACTCAAAGGGCACAAAGTGGATTTATAACCCCATGTGGCTGCTTCTGAACCCCATATTTGCATATTCCCCAGGGAACACATGCCTTCCATCCCCACACACTGGTCAATCACATGGATGGAAAATTCTTCAATTCTGAAGTCATCCAAGTGTGAAGTAAAGAAGGTGTTTAAAAATTTGGTAAGTTTAAAGGGTTACTGTTGCTACTGCATAATACAGGGTATACAAAATGATGGAAAACAATTTAAAAATGTGAATCAGGGTTACCTCTGGTGACCTAACTTTTACAAGGTTTAAAACAATTCTAGAAAAATGCATTTTTGGCTCATATGGAACTCTTTCTCCCCAGATTTACCCAAGAGGCTTGACGAAACTCCTTCCAGAAAGTAATACTGGGGGTGGGGGTGGAGTGGGGTGGGGGGAATCAAGTCACTCAGTTCAGGAGATTCAAGATCCCATAATATTTGTGGAATGTGTTACTTTGCATGACCTTACTAAGAGGCTTTAGGAAATATACAAAGGCAATTTTAGTATTATTCTCCCTGGGTATTGATCATAGAAGTTCTTGAAAAAGTCTTATTTCAGTAATTAAGGCACAATTGCTTATAAACTATTTTATAATTCTTAAC